GGAGGGGGGGACAGCATGATTGTCGCATGGATCTACAGTTTGTTTGGCCAGATGAAGAGAGTTCTGGAGAGTAGTTGCACAGCAGTGTGAATGTGCTTAATGCCGCTGAACTAGACAGGTGAAGGGGGTGAGAGCCAGTGGAGGCATTTCCCCTCCTGGGCCTGGGGGGGCACAGTGTCTCACCACCGTGGCTGAGTGTGTGGTTGAGAGTTTAGGCCCAAACATTTTAGGCTCTTTTCTTGAATATAATGAAGTCCTTGGGTGTGTTTCAGGTAAATGGGCTGCTGTTAACAACAACCCCCCCAAAATTGAGATGTACTCATTGAGGGAAACCTTTAACATGTAAGCTTTAGGAAGGTGCCCATTAGCACTGTCAGTTACAGTTTTGTTACTTTGAACCATCTTAACATTTTTTAATTTCCGTTACATTATTTTTTATTTTTTAGGAATATCCTAGAACTCTGAGCCTAGATATGAAAAAATAAGTTTATTTATTTTTTATTTTTTTAAATATTTTTTAAATTTATTTTATGAGAGAGAAGGAGAAAGAGTGGGAGAGAAATATCAATGTATGGTTGCCTCTCATGCATCCCCTGCTGGGAACTGGCCTGCAACCCAGGCATGTGCCCTGACTGGGAATGGAACCGCGATACTCTGGTTCGCAGGCCCGCGCTCAATCCACTGAGCTACGCCAGCCAGGAATAAGTTTATTTTTGTTATTTCCTGAATATAGACAGAAAAGGAAAATTGTTTTAAAAATGCCTGATAATAAATAAACTTGATGTATTTAATTTTTCTTAACGTACTATATTTGGTCAGAATTTGAAATTACCGAAAAGACTCTCCTGAAATGCAAGGAAGAAAGAAAGTTCTGGTCCACTCATTGTGCTACCTGCCTAGCATCACCCAGGTGCCCTGGGGGCGGGGCTGGTGGCCAGAGGTTCTGAAAAGGTGCCAGTTGAGTGATCATCCAAAAAGAAAAGTATAGATGGAATGACGGCATCAATGTAATAATTTACTCAGGAGAGCGCAGATCATCTGTGAATGTCAAACTATTGAAGGTTTTTGAGAAACAGGATATTCACAGAGTCCCAAGGTGACACCTCCCAGACTGCTCATTAATTTCACAGGAAAACGGTCCCTTTAAAAGGGAGAGACCTGGTGGCATGACCTTAACCCATCGATCAAACGCAGCATGGCTGTTTCTGGGACAGACTGACATTCCACAGTTCCTGGTGTGATTCAGTAAGAAACACAAAACAACATCTCTGTCGTTTTCTGGCCCAAACTGTTTGATTATGAGGAAGCCATCAGACTGTCCAGAATAGGAGGCCAGCCTTCCAGTCTCTCTCTTTCTTTCTCTCTCTCTTTCTTTTATAATAAGACAACTGCCCTAAATTCATCCAAAGAGCCAGTGTCATGAAAAACAAAGAAACAATGGGACTAAAGAGAGGCATAACAGATACCATATGTGAGCCTTGATGGATCCTGTATCTTAAGAAAGAAAAAAGGTTAGAAAAGACATTTTTGGGATCCTTGCAGAAAGTCAAATATGGATTGAATATTAGACAGTGTTCTTGCATTAATGCTGACGTGCTCAGGATTGCTGGCGGCCTGGTGATTATGGAGGAAAGTGGCCTCCGGGATAGATGCTGACGCACAAGTGTAGGGGCACATCCCAGCCACAACTTTGCTAGAAATGATTGAGCAGAACCCACATTGACATACACGCTTGTGCACACACACCCCCCAAACGTGGGTGAAGCAATTAGTGAATCTGGGTGAAGGGTCATCTCAATTCATTCATCTTTTCTGTGGCTTTGAAAAATTTCTAGATACATGGAACAAGTTGAAGAAAGTCTGTGGCTCTTCTCTGGCTAGGAAAGACTTGGACTTCTGCCCCCTGCTTCCCTGGGGGGTTCCCTGGGGGGACGCTCCTGTGGGGGGTGCGTCTGCTTTGAAGACTCCCAGGCATCTGTCGTCTGTGCCGTTTGTCTTGTCGATAAGAAGCAGGCAGCTGAGTGGCAGCGCTTGGTGGTGGCAGCGCTGGGGACAAAGGACTGGCCCCCCTCACGGTCACGGGAGGAGGGGAGGAAATGTCTGCCAGGCACGTGCAACACCAGGAAACTCATAAAATCTTTTCTGGCTGTGAAATGTTTTGTGCTGGGGAATAGCCACTAAGCTGGGAGTGTCTGGCCAGCAGTTAAAAGCAGAAGCTGTGGGTTGCTCCTAAGGGTGGAGCTGAGTTCTCAGAGCCTTTTCTCTGAGTCTCTGGGCGCCTGAATAGAACCTGCCTGGGAGGATCAGTGTGCGTCCAGCCCTGCGTGCCGGCCACAGGAGCCCTTTCCGTTCTGCGTGGCCATTTCTTCTTGCCCCGGGGCATCATCTTCCTAGGTGGGGAAGGAGAGGCCCGTCAGTTCAGTGCTGTCAGGTTCAGAGACAACACACTGAGGAATCACCCCCCCTGCCTGGCTCTGGCCTGTAGCTTAGTGGGTCCCTGAGAAGCTACAGGTGAATTCAGACTCAGTCACCATGGCTGCTTCCACGTCAGGGTAACAGTCCTCTTGGGCCTGGTGGTTGGAGGGAAAGGAGACCTCTGGAAGATTTGAAAGGCACCAAAAGCAGGGAGAAAAGCAGCTGACTGAGCAGCACATCTGCTGGTCGGAGTGGGTTGCTGTGAAAGGCTCTCACTGCCCTCCCGCCCCCCAGCACGATGCACGTTTCTGCCGGGACTGTGACCTTCACCGAGACACCATCTGCTCCTGGGAAGAGCGTATATCTATCCAGTACCTGTGAAAATTGCACAACGAATACATGATCAACAGAAAAAAGTTAGGGCACACAGATGATCTGAGATCATGAGGACAGTTCAAATGGCCTGAAATTTCACTGTCCAGAGAGAACGATTCCTTCTCTGAAGGAACATTCATTGGGCACCTGCTATGTGCCAGGGACTGCTGGGACACGAGGGCACAGCAGCCAATGGGTGGGACATGGTTCCTTCCTGTCCTCATGGGGTTTAGACCTGTTCATGGCCTGCTGGCTGGGAATATTGATACTCAGTATTAAACAAGCAGTCTCAGTGCCAGAAGCACCTTGATGACATCCAGTGGCCTCTGAGCTCTGGGGGACACATAGTAGGTGGGTGAGGGGACCGACACTGGAGAGGGTCCGAATTCCATGGGGCTGGGTCCTACGCTTGGGGGTGGAGGCCATTGGAGGTTACGAGGCTAAGCCTGGTCAGCCAGGCCCCAGCCCAGGACTTCAGCTGTACAAGAAGCTCTTCCCCCTGGGCAGCATTGACCTCGCCTTTCCCTGCCTGCGTCGCTCCCGAGTGTGATGACGAGGGAAGGTGTGTGTTTTGGAGGTGGTGCCTGAGGGATGGGGCTCCAAAAGGAGATGGGGCTGGGCGTGCGCTGCATAGGAACAGGTTGGCCATTGTCTCTGCTCCTCGCTGTGTTGTCCATTCCCACTCGCTCAGCCCCTCCCTGTCCAAGACCAGAGGTTCATGTCCTGCCACCTCCATCCACCTAGTGGGCGTCGTCAGGCTCGCTGAGAAGATGGACCACGGGCTTCCCAGCGCGGGCGTTTCGTTTCTCAGTGACGCCTTCCTGCAGACTCCGCTGGGTCTGCGGGAGGGCAGCCTGTGCTGGTTCCCTTCTCCTCCCTCCTTCGAACCCTGAGAGCCTGGTGAGAACTGGGCCGGAAGCGCTGGCGGTTGTGCACAGGTGTGGGGACGCTTTGTTGGCCGTTCCCTGCCCTGGCACAGACGTGTGCTCTGAGCACAGCTGCCTCTGCTGGCGCTCGTGCCGCAGCTGCTCTGCACCCAGTGAGGTTGGGCTTGGAGGCCACAGGTGACCAGAGTGAGGCCAGGACTTGGGGCCGGCCGGCTGAGGTGGGGTCGGGCAGTGCATGGGGACTGTGGTCAGGGAAGGCTTCCGAGGCGCGGTGACTCTGAAGGTAGAGAACAAGGCGAGGATGGCCCAGTGAAGAGGGGGTGGGTGGGGAAGGGCGCCCCAGACAGAGGCGCTGTGTAGAGGAAGCCAGGAGAGCGCGATGCCTCCTGAACTGTGGTGACGGAGGCCCCTGCCAGGTGTGCGTGGTTTCCCCACGGCGAGGGGTGTACAGCTGCAGAGCCTCCCACCGTGGAGGCTGCCACTTCCCGCCCGTAGCCCCAGAACCTGCACCCTCCGTGACCCTGACACCCGCTGCCGCTGGCTGCTTCTCTGTGCTGAGGACGATGTCGGGGGTTGGTCTGTCAGAGCCTCGGTTCCCTTGACCGAGGCTCATGTTCGATCTTGTTTCTCGTAGGGACGGGCTCCATTAGTTGTCCGCGGTGGTGACACACTGGATCGAGTACACCTCTGGGCTTCCTCCCCTCTCCTGTCTTCTCCCACCTCCCAGTCTTTCCGAGGACTCTGTTTCCGAGAGGACCTGGATTAAAAACCCACCAGTGGAGCTCAAACTCAGCACTCCGGTAGTGGGGAGCTATGGAAGGGCTTTCCACATCTGGGGGGACAGGGTCAGATTTGTAGTGTCATTCTGACTACGACCTGCCCCTCTGAGCTGTCCTGGGGTCCAGAATTAGTCATGACCAGACAGGAAAGCCATCCCCCGCACCCCCCAAGCCCTCACTGTGGGCGACGACAACTCTCGAAAACCTTCTGTGTTCCACATGCTGGGCCGAACATTGGGTGTGTACTCTGTCATTGCGTCTGGCAAAAGCCTTATGAGGTCCAAGTTCCATTTTACAGATGAGAGAACTGAGGCCCAGAGAGAGCGAGATACCTGTGCGAGATCACACCGCGGATGTGAGCGCTTGGGGGCTCGAGCTCAGGTGTGACAGATCCCGTGTGTGTGCTCCTCCTCCCTTGGTAGTGGGGCCTTCTTGGCCTCCTGGCCTCCCTGCCAGCACCATCCAGGAACATTCAGGTGGCCCTTTACTAAATTCCCGGGTGCAGGCCAGTGCTGACTCCCAGTAACCTCTGCTTCTCCCACAGGTAAATTTGAGGATAGGGAAGACCACGTACCCAAGCTGGAGCAGATAAACAGTACGAGGATCCTGAGCAGCCAGAACTTCACCCTCACCAAGAAGGAGCTCCTGAGCACGGAGCTGCTGCTCCTGGAGGCCTTCAGCTGGAACCTCTGCCTGCCCACACCTGCCCACTTCCTGGACTACTACCTCTTGGCCTCCGTCAGCCAGAAGGACCAGCACTGCCACAGCTGGCCCACCACCTGCCCCCGCAAGACCAAAGAGTGCCTCAAGGAGTACGCCCACTACTTCCTGGAGGTCACCCTGCAAGGTGGGGCCCAGGGGCTGGGATTGCGTGGCGCCAAGGGCATGCATGTCCATTCCGAGGAGTCCTTACGGACTGCAGCCCATGCACCTGTCACTCTCACTTTGCAAGGGATAAACAAGGAGTCACCCACTGTGTTACTGATCATGTGTAAAAGAGACCCAGCAGCTTAATACAGGCCACCGGTATCCTTTAAACAGTGGTCACCTGGTAATTTTTTATGGTAGCCCACAACACTGCAGATCTGAATAGGACAGGTCACTCAGTCTGGAAGAGCTGTTGTCATACAGGTCGGGGGGGTGGGGGGTTATGTTTGCATCTGCTTTAGCAATGAAGTCACCCTGTTTGGGGACTTGTCTGTGAATCTCACTCTTCCCAGTATCTTAAAATCTAGGTGGTAGGTGAAATACTGGGTCAGAGATACAGTTGAGTCGACCACCCACCCAGTTGACTCCACTGAATCGACCGACCAACCACTCAGTTTGATGCAAAGCACAAACCGAAATGGTCATGTGTTAACAGTGTCAACAGTTGTGCTATCAAGTATTAATTGGGTGCTTACTGTGTACCGGACACTTTTAGTGCTTTGCATCCATTACGTCATTTGAACCTTCCAACGACTCCACCTAAAGATCGTTTCTGCTATTCTCGTTGTACCAGTCAGTTTCCTTAATTGATGCTCAGGAGGAACAGACTGCAGGTCATTGCTAAAATTTGAACCTGCCAAGTCCAACCCTGGGGCTGTGCCTGTCAGCTTACTGCCACCCTGACCGATTTCTTACTTTAACAGGCAAGGGTCGAAGTCATCAAAAATCATAAACAATTTAAGACAGCATGGCAATGTACTAATAACCAGGTGCCCTTCAGGAAAATTGCTCATCAGTAGCGCCAGCTTTGCCAAATTGTAAGGTAGCTTAGTGTGGGACATGAAGGTTTCTCAGATAATTTCACAGCGTGTACATGTTTCAAAACCTCACACTGTGCATCTTCTTTACTCGGGCAGTTTTTATTTGTCACTCAGGTAAAGCAGGGGAGGATTCTTCAGTAAATGTAAGTCAAGTGCCAATTCTAGTTACAGATCTCAAAATGCATTCATTCAATGTAGTCATTCATTTTTATATGCATTGATTCAACAGGTTTTCATGCAGTGCCTACTGTGGTCCAGGCTTCATTACTGTTTAATAAGTAGCCTCTGAAATGGCTTGTCATTCACTCCTAACAACCAAAGAAAGGACAGGTGTTCTGTGGTCCCCTTGCAGCCTGTCAGCAGCCCCGTGCGGCCCCCAGAAGCTGTGGACCGTATTGTGAGAGTCACTGCCCTAGGCCGACATCAGAATCCCCGGACTGAGCCAAGGTGTTTAAGATGCAGGAACTGCACATGCGGCCATTGGCACTCTCTCATCATGTGTGTGGCCTGGTGGGGGTGGCGCAGCGCAGCAGTGAACAGCTGTGAACCTAATCGTTTCGTCTGCCAGTTCTAGGGGGCACCACGCAGGCAGGGCACCAGGAGGCAAAGCGTTACGATGCTGACTCCCTCTGATTCCCTTTCAGATCATATTTTCTACAAATTCCAGCCTTCTGTGGTCGCTGCGGCCTGCGTTGGAGCCTCTAGAATTTGCCTTCAGCTTTCTCCCTACTGGACCAGAGACCTGCAGAGGATCTCAAACTACTCCCTGGAACATCTCAGCACCTGCATCGAGATCCTGCTGGTGTAAGTCCGTCTCCAGTTCAGGCGATTTCCTGAAGTCTGAGGCTTATGGTGGATCCCCCAGCTGGAGTCTCACATCTCGTGGGTCATGGGGACTCTCACTAGTACTGGGGTGTGGGGAGTTGGTCCTTCCTGTTTTGGGCAGCTTTGGGTTTACAGTTTTAGGGTCAGGGAGAGAGGGGTTATGTGCACAACCTTCTGCGCATCTGGCTCTTGGATCTGAGTCCCAGCGTATCAATCAGTCCACAGAGGGTTGCATTGAGGGACTCTCATTACAAGCTGTTTTTTCAGGTGTGGCCACAAAGCTGACCTCTTAGCCAGCTAAGGGTGGTTTAACTTACGGGGCCACAGCTTCCTTGGGAATCTTGGGGAGGAAACATTCAGTGTATCAGAGAAGATGCTTCAAGGCTTCATAGACCCAACACCATGAGACTGATGTCAGAGGTGAAAGAGGTCAGTGGTGACCTCAGGGAGGAGGATGGATAGGACAGAAAGATCCTGCCTGGTCACACCCAGTCCCTCTTCCACGTGACAGGTGGCAGCATTTCCTAGATGTTTGGCCCCACTGAACACGGGCCTAGTTCCCTAAAGAGCCACCTCTTCGCCTCCAGATGTAGCTGCCCTCGTCTCACTTACCTGAAGTCTCAGTCCCGCTTCCTGGGCTTTGTCTTCAAACTCGTGCCTTTGAGAAACTACCCAAAGCCAGAGAACTTGGCCTGGTTGGGCTGCTGACAGGGGCCTGGGATTCTCGGCCACCAGCCCTGCCTCTTCCTGGCTGCCGTGCTGGCACAGCCCCTTCCCAGGCCTGCCGCAGCTCCATGGGCCCCTATCTTATGTTCCCCTTCAGTTAGAGAGTTTCTCAGATAGAGAAACTGAGGCTCCGTGGGCACCTTGCTTGAGATCCTCTAGCTCAGGAGTGACCCAACTGGGATAGAGATGCTGGAAGTGCCTTGAAGGTGGAGGTGGGGCTTATCTGAGTGCCCGGAGGTCTGCCCTGTGGGCAGGCGCTGTGCCAGGTGTGGGGACACAGCAGTGCACAGAAGCAGACGGGGTCCTCCTCGTCGGAGCTCACACTCCGCACGGCGTGGGGCCAGGCAGTAACCTGGAAGTTATGACCGAGGGTGTTGACTGTGAGGGGGGTGGGCGGAGTGACTGCAAAACAGCGAGGCTAGTCTTGAGGAGTCAGAAGAGGTCTTTACAGGACTTGGACCCAAGCGGAGATCCCAGGCCTGAGGTTTGTGGGACAGTAACTGAGGCCAGGCGGGAGGCAGTTATTGCCTATGAGCAGTTACTGTCTCTGAGCACAGGCTGGGCAAAGTCTGGCAGTGACAGCGCACAGACCCCACTTAGCAGGGCAGGTGGAGGTGCTCTCAGGTGTCAGCCTTTTGCCTCTGAGTCTCACCCAGGTCCTTTCCTTTCAGAGCTTATGACAATGTCCTCAAGGATGCCGTCACAGTCAAGAGCCAGGCTTTGGCGATGGTGCCCGGCACGTCCCCAGCCCCCACCCAGATGCTGTTCCAGCCACCCACCTACCCCACCCTCAGCCAGCCAACGCCGGCGGCCCTGGGACAATTCCAGAGCCCCGTGCAGGACCTGTGTCTGGCCTATCGGGACTCACTGCAGGCCCACTGTTCGGGGAGCCTGCTCTCAGGAGGCACGGGCTCATCCGTCCACACCCCGTATCCCTCCCTCCAGCCCCTGGACATGTGCCCCGTGCCCCTCCCCACGTCCCTCAGCATGCAGATGGCCATTGCAGCCGAGCCCCGGCACTGCCTCGCCACCACCTACAGAAGCAGCTACTTCAGCGGGAGTCACACGTTCCCTGCGGGCTGTTTTGACAGATAGGGCCCTGTTGGCCCACCTGGGGAGGCCTTGGGGACCCAGGCAGAGGAAGAGGATGCTGACGAGGGGGGCTCAGCAGAACAAGGCGACTGGGAGACCATCCCTGCAGAGCCTCATTGCCCTGGAGTGGAGAGGGTCTGTGTTCTTTTTAAATAAAACGGACCCGGAGCAAAACAGTCAGTGAGATACCTCACCCAAGAGCATCCCTCTGGAAAACTTCTTCCACACATGCCTGTGGTGCAGGGGGATGGCCTGGTGGCCGTCCCCTGGGGCAGGGGCCTGGAGAATCGAGAAACACCTGGTGAGAGGCCAGGAGACTGGGAGCTGATGCAGACGCCGTCTGCAGACTCACGTCCGGTGTTCAGCATCAAAGACTCCCTTTATTCTTTGCGCATGGCAGCTACACCACTGAAGAGCAAGGGGCATCCGGACGTGTTCTCAGGACCTCGATGGATAGGGTGGGGGCCTGTGCGGGTGGGGCCTGCACGTCTGCCCTCTGAGGCCCAGTGGACAGCTGTGTTGCCTTTACTGTCGACCCCCCCCCTTAGACGTTTCACGTGCTGCTGCTTCCCGAAGTGACCTAGCCCTCTGTTCAGTAGGAAGTCTTGTTTACATACTGTATCAGGGATTTCGTGATACTTGAAAGCTCCTTTGGAGAAAAACGATGTTGGTTGCCAGCCTGCCTGTCCCATGCGCGGGCTGTAGGTTTGTATCCCGGCTTGTGACTGACCAGTGGGGTCACAGCTCCCTTTTCAAAAGCGTGCAGTTGGGGAGAACCACTTTCCAGTCCCTGGATTCCAGAAGATTCCACATTTTGGATGCTGTGTTCACCTGTAGGACCAGAGGTAAAAGGTTGTTGAAGGGTAGAGAGAGGTTCTGCCTCCTCTGCCTGCTTCTAGTGCTTGAGTTTAAAGCCAGGCTCCGTGTTGAGTTTGGCTGCTAGCAAAGGGTAATCATGTGGAATGTGTGCCTAAGGCCCGTTGGATTTGGGGAGGTGGGTGTATAGTGTATATGCCACCACCAGCGACAGGCAAGCAATCGTTCGGATCAAAAGCCAGTATTTGGGTTTCTGCAGCGAGGGGGCTCTCAGGACCACTTGGGGGGCCATGTGCAATATGTTCTTATCCCGACTCGCGGCCTGTGCTCAAGTGTGTGTTTTTTTTGGTTGGATTGGGGACACATTCACCCACAAAACTGAGAGGTGCAAAGATCCACGAAAGCATTTTTCCCTATGCTTATTTTTTAAGAAGAACCCACGTTGGTTTTGTTGACTCACTTGCCTGTCCGGGAGACCGGCGGATGGCTGCCTGCAGCAGTGGCATGCTACTGAGTCGGGCCTGACGGTGACAGTCCCCGCAGGAGAAAGTCCCCGCGTGGGAGCAGAAGAGACTGGGTGTGGGTACGGCACTGCCACTGGGTCACACTCACATAGGAAACTGCACGTTCGTTTGTTTTTCTCTTTTTCCTTTGCTCACCTCCTATTTATATACAACTGCTTTGGATTTCATGTTATTGTGTCTGCTTGTTCTGTGGCTGGGGGCTTGTGAGGGGCCCCCAGTAAAAGGTGTCCCTTAATAAACATGTCACCGGCTGTAGGTCTCTGAGTTCTCCTCCTAGTCCTCTAAGCCAGCTGCACCCCACTCCCTTCCACATCAGCCCAAGGGTCTCACTCCTGGGAGTTTGGGGGGAGTGGGTGGTCGAAGAACTGGCTCCTGTGGGGCTGGGTCTCTGGGGCCACGGGCAGCCGGGCTAAGGCTGGACATCCCAGCTCTCCCACTGACTCAGTCAGGGTTCTCCAGGGAAACAGAATCTATTACATATTTAGTGAGAAAGATTTATTTCCAGGAATTGGCTCAGCCTTGCAGATGCCTAGATTAGAATCAGAGTCAAGGCTTCCTTATGTCCTCCAGTTCAAAGTCCATCTCTCCACCACCTGTTCTCACATCTGAATTCTCTTTTGTTTCCATGATTCTCAGTAGGGCTCACTTTTGCTCCCCAGGACACGTGTCAACGTCTGGAGACATGTTTGGTTGTCACAGTGGAGGAGGGGAGGAGCTGGCATTTAGCACGTAGAGGCCAGGGACACTGCTCGGCATCTTGCGATGCACAGAACAGCGCCCACGGTGAAGAATTACTTGGCTCAAAATGACAGTAGTGCCAAGGCTGAGAGACATCAACTCACATGTTACTTCCCAAAGTGGGCTCTTGTAACACCCCTAATTATTCTGCCATAACCTCCTTTTATTTTCCTTGCAATGGTTAAAAGCTTTGGAAATGCTCCTGTTAATTGGTTTACTTGGTTTGATGTGTCCTAAACTATCTACCCCCAGCAGAACATCGAGAATGTCATTGCCTGGTGGTGAGAGCACCCATCATAGCAGCCGGTGTTACTGAGCATCATTCACTGTGTACAAAAGCACCACGCTAAGGACTCTGCTGGCATTTCCCATCATCACCCTCGGAACCCTACAAGGCTGGAACTTTCTCAGCTGTATTTTACAGGTCAGGAAGCGGGGCACGCAGAGGTTACTCACCCAAGGAACCAGTGGGGAAGGAAGGAGCTGTAATTCAATCCCCAGCAGTCTGGAGCTGCCCTGCCAGCCAGTGGTGTCTCCAGGGTTTGGAATGAGTGGAAGGCTCCTAGCTGTCCCTCTCACCCAGTGGGAAGACTGGACAGAGTAATGGATGTGGGTTCATAAAAGAGTTGCCTGGCATCTGCGCTTCTGGCTTACAGAGTGGCAGGCATTCTCACACACAGCGTGCTCACCAGCAGACAACTACAGAAACATAGCTTCTTGCACATCTGCCACGGGCTAACGTGCTTGACAGCTCCATCTGTCTGCCTGCCGCCCCCCTTTCCCCATTCCACCCACGTAGGCTCTGAATGGGGAGGGGTTTCCCGTGCCCCACCCACAAAGGCCGAGCTCTGGAACAGGCCTGGGCTCCCCTGGAGCACCCCCTGAAGGGACCCCACCTCTGGGCCATCCCTGCACCAAATGCCTAGGAGAGAATCTTAACCAGCCCTCATTACCGCATTCTCTGTTCTGCAGGGAAGACCCCGTGACTTGAATTGCAGCAGAAAGGCCATAGCATTTGACAGGTGTCTCTAGTCCAGGGACCCACCAGGCACAGATAGGTCACGACAGTGAATCCAGCTGGCAGTGGGGACCGCTGGAGCCAGTGTCCGTCTGAGGAATCAGCTTCTGCTCAGCTCTGGCCAGTAACACCATCCAGGGATGTGAGCTCTTTGTTGCCAAACCTTCAGATTTCCAGAAAGACTGGAAAGCTACACTTTTCTAGGAAATCTATTTCTCATTTACTTTAAAAATTTTTAGACATGTTAACACAACAGAAGGCCAGTTAATACACTGTAGGTTAGAATGGCCCTTGGGCTGCAAGCTTGCAACTTCTAGTGCAAGAGTGTTGGGCCTGAGAAGTGGGAGGTCTGAGTTTGTCTGCCCTGAGCCAGGTGACCATGAGAAATGCCAGCTCTCCACTCTGCCCCTCTCTCTCCTCCTTGGTAAGTCAGGATGGTGATCAGCCTTCACTTCAGGTTTATGGTAAGAAAGCATGGAATATATGGCATCATTATTCAACAGTGAGTCCTAGGAGGAATATTGTAAATGAATGGGTTTCTTCCTTTGGGGGCTTGGGTGAGCCTCTGAGCTTCACCTCCCTCCAACCCAGCTCTGGTTTAAAATAGGAAGAACGCAAGTGATCAGGTGTCTTCTGCTGGGCCAGCTCTGACCGGTGCTCAGGGCCCTGCCCTTGCCAGAGACACTACAGGCAGGATGTACAGGGAGTCAGGCCTACTACTCCATAGCTGTGTGGACCCAGGTAGGTCATTTCCCCTTTCTAGATCTCAGTTTTTCCATCTGCAAAATGGAAGGATTGGGAGTGGAACCGTCTCTGTCATGCCTGGCTGGGGAGCCCTTCACAATGACAACTCCCTGGTCTTTGCATCTGAAGAGCTTCATCCAGCAGGTCTGGGCTATGGCTCGGGCTGCCCTTTTAGCAGGACCCCCAGGTGATGACGGTGCACTGCCAGGCTTGGGTAGCTCTCCCTGCTCTGAAAGCTCTGACCCTGTGTGTGCCCATTCTCAGAGAGCCAACCAAGAAGGGCCCTTAAGAGCTGTTCACTGAGCACATACTATGTTCCAGGTCCTGTATTTGACACGTTGCTCATGCTCTCTTATTCCTCCTGCTCTTATTTTGCCCTCACAACACCCCCATGAGCTGGAGTCGTCATCGTTTTCCAGATGAGGATACTGAGGTTCAGGGAAGCTCATCTCACCACGGGCAAGTGGTGGGAGAGGCTTTCACACTTGCATATGCCTGACTTGAGGAGCCACGTGGCCTCCAATGCCTTGTCACCCTAAATGACACTAGTACCAAGGTCCAATCATTCAGGATTTTATGGCCTGAACCCCTTACCCTGCCCTTCCCAACACACAGTCACATTTCATTGACTGTAGTGGGGGGGGGGAGAGTGCCACCTGGTGGTGGTTTGTAAAGCTCCCATTTCACCAGACAAGCTGATCAGGAGGGATGTGCTTGCCCTGGCAGAGTGGAAGAGCTGCCTCTCAAGGGTCAGGGTGTGAAGGTCATGAAGAGCCTGGGTAAAGGGCACCTGCACTGAGTGGGGAGTGACTGCAGCAACTTGAATGTCACAGCAGAACGATGCAGCTCCTCTAACTTTCAAAGCCACCAATGCGGACTTTTACCCTTTATACTTGCAACTCCTCTGTGACCCAAGGGGAGGTCTGCGTAGTCCATATTACCTGTGGACGAGATAGGACTCTGAGCGACCCTGTGGCTTGCTCTGGTGCCTCAAAAGTTCATGGAAGAGGCACTCCTCAGCCTTTCATCACACTGGCTTGAGAATCAATGATGGTGGTGATCATGGAGGTGATGGTGGCCCTGTGGCAGCCGCTACTATTGAGTGTGTTTGTGGCATGCCTACTCGGTTAGGTAAGTACAGCGACTATCCCCACTTACAGGTGAGGAAACCGAGGCTCAAAGTAATGGATGAACTTACCTAAAGGTGACTCAGCTTCTGGGGGGGTCAAACAGGGATTCAGACCCTAGCAATGTGACTCCAGAGTCCATGCTTTTACCTTACCCACTGTCCCTTTTACTGGCTGGGGAAACCTCTCTCCCAAGATGTGAGCAAAACAGACACTTGACTCTAATTCACCTCATTCCCATTCACCCTCATGAGCTGGATGAGCAACTAGACTCCATCAGCCAGAGATGCCCACTGCACATTACTCCCAGAGACTCGTCGCTGCTGTGTGACCTTACATTAATGTCTTTCCCTCTCTGAGCCTTGGTTGCCATAGCTGTAAAATACAGACTTTAAACGAGGTGAGTTCTGAGATCCTGCTATTCCATGAGTCTCTGAATCCATACCAACACCAACTTAAGAATGCCTTCCCTGCCAATAATTTGAATTTGTTTTTTTAACAATTTATTTTATTTTCTTTTTTTTGTTGGAGCAAGACTCTTCTGCATTTGGTTATATACAGTTAAGTTCGTACAATTTATTTTTTTAATGATTTTATTTATTTTAGAGAGATAGGAAGGGTGGGAGAGAGAGAAACATCAGTGTGTGAGAGATACATTGCTCTGTTGCCTCTCCAAGGACCTGGCCAGGAACCGAACTGGTGACCTTTTAGTTCACAGGCCAGCACTCAATCCACTGAGTCACACCAACCAGGGCTGACTTTGCTCTTGAATCAGTTTCCAAAGTAAAAACAATGTCTCTCTCCCTTTCTCTCTCTCTCTCTCAATTTTTAGCCCAATTACGGTTAACTCGCTCTTATTTAGAGACTTATTATCCAAGCTCATTATGAATAATTACTCAGTCTGGAGGGGAAACAGCATCACTGCTAGTTTAATTTAATGCTTACCTAGTTCACTTAATTAGCAATAAGTCTTGGCAAAATGATAGAATTCATGGGGTCCTGGCTTTGTGTGCCGCGGCTGGTGGAGAGGGTAGAAGCTCGGGCTGTTCTTAGAAGGATAAACAAGCTTCAGGGCAGACTGTGGGAGGAGCCAAGGAGCGAACTGCTGTTAGTGGTCTAGCTGTGCCCTCTGTCCCAGCCAAGGCTGGCCCCCGGAGAGTGAAAGGCTGTAGATTACACAGCCTGCAAGTACCTTAGGTCAAGCAGCACTTACTAAGCACCTGCTGGGTGCACAGACCCTTGTTTCTTACGCCTTATAACGCATGGGACGCGTATATTCACGGCGATTTAGGTAATTCAACTCTTAGAGTTACTCCAATAGTTCCTTATCCGCAGGTCCACTTTCTGCAGTTTTGGTTACCCTGTGGTCAACCGCAGTCCGGATATAGTAAATGGAAAACTTCAGAAATAAACCACTCATATTTCAAATTACGAGTCATTCCGAGTTGCGTGATGAAATCTCGCGAGTCCCGCTGGCTCCCGCCCGGGACGCAGCCAGCGTCAGGGGGACGCAGCCAGCGTCAGGGCGCCACAGTCATTACGCAGCCGTCAGTCGCCCATTTGGTTGTCAGACCGTCTGTATTGGTATCACCGCGCTTCTGTTAAGTGATTTTTATTTTACATCATAATGACCTGGAAGCGCAAAAGTAGTGACGCTGGCAATTTGGATATGTCCCCGAGAAGCCGCCCAGTGCTTGTTCCGTATTGTCAGGCGGTCCGTTGTAGCCTACGCTTTGTCACCACCTCCGTCATTAACCTGATCTCATCACGTCGGTGTTACGTCATCTCACATCATCGCAAAAAGGGTGAGTACAGGCCGCTGTGAGATAGTTTGAGAGAAAGAGACCATGTTCGCAAAACTTGTATTTCAGTATATTGTTATAATCATTCTATTGTATTAATAGTCTCTTACTGTGCCTTGTTTGTAAATTAAACATTATCATATGTATGTGTGTACAGGAAAAAACAGTGTATATGGGGTTTGGCACTGTCTGCAGTTTCAGGAGTCCCCGGGAGGGGGGTCTCAGAACATCTTCCCTGTGGATCCGGGGACGACTGTATTCTTTCTCTTTCTCAGTGGTCTGGCAGTGATTGCCATTAGCCAAGGAGGAAGTTTCTTATTTGATGCTGCTGTCACGTTCCATGTCTCAGCCTTTTTGAAAAGGGAGGTCTCAGGCTCAGGGCCTTGGTCAGGCAACAGAATTGAGCGTGAAGTCTACATGGTCCAGTTCCAACTTTGTGAATGTTTTATTTGTGGCACATAACATTGACTTCTCGTGCTTACAAACCAGGTGAAGGCTTCTTTGTAGTGAAGATAAGTGAATTGTCATACAGAAAGACATGGGGTGATACCCAGATGTGGTCACTCTCCCAGGAGGTGGGAGAGGAGAAAAGGCCGGCTCAGTGCCCTGGGTTCTGGATTATCTGGCCAGGGGCCAGCCCAGAGTTCCTACTCCCAAACCCTGGGCAGGCGCAGTAACCAGGCAGGGGCATCTGCTAAATTCAAGTGCTGCCTCAGAAGCTTTCCTGACCCAGGGCTCCAGGCACCCACCAGGGGATCTGGTGACCTTCTGACCACCTTTCCTGGCCCCCCACCATCCGCAGCCTTTCTCAGTTTCTCCCAGGCCCCCTGACTAACCTACTAGCGCAAACTGTGACACCCCCGTCCCATCCCCTCCTGTCACTCTCATTGCCCCGTTGCCACCTTATGGACTGTCATTTTTCCTCAGTCCCTCATTGGTCCCCTGGCACCCCCTTGGTACCAGTAGGTAAACTGAGGCCCAAAGGAACGACGCCATAGGAAATGAGTGGCAGAGCCAGGGACATGCTAGGCCACCTACCCAGCTAAGCCCCAGGTGTCCACCCAGTGTCTGCCTAGCCTTGGAGCCCAGCTGCAGGGGGCCTTTCCTGGACTGGTCATTCACCACCCTCACACGTCAATTCTGCTATGCTTGTCCTGTTGCCCATGTTAGAGTCACTGTGTCTCCCCTCCCAGGTGACATTGTTCCCTTTAAAGGATTATGTCCACCCACACAGTGGTGGGTGGCAGAGTGGGGTCCACAGAAGTGTGCCCACAGTGCTTCTTGAGCCACTGCTTTTGCCTTTTTGCAGGGGCTCAGGGTATTCAGTTCACATTCAAGGCTCCCTCTGCCATGACATGGACCCAACAGGGATCTCAGGACCAGGGTTGGCCTGTGTAGCCATCCTCAAAAATTTCCCACCCTCCCCCAGCCAGAACCTGCCTCCAAGTCACCAGAAAACAAAGACAAAGAGGTTCTGGAGTGAGCAGAAGGCCCATTCTTGGACCAGCTTTATTGGTGGCTTTGCAGCCCCCTCGGAGCCCCACCTGGTTGCTTAGGCCAGCCTCTTATATACACGCTCATAGGTCACACCTCCGATGGTGGAGATCTGAAAGAAGCAGGCAGAACAGAAGGGGTCAGTGCTGGGACTCCGAGGGGACCATGGGGCACAGCTGGTGAAGACTGACCTCCAATCCCAGCCCTGAGTAGAAATGAATCCGTTGCTCCACTTCTCTGGGCCTCGGTGTCCCAATCTCCTACACGAATCACTGCGCAGACTCAGTGTAGCGAAAGTGCTGAGCAGATGACTCTTTGCATGGTCACTTCCCCACCGTCTGTTCATTTCCGTTCATCAGGTCAGGCTCTTCCCTTGCATTATCCCACTGAATCCTCCCATCAACACTGTGAGGCTGTCCCCATTGTACAGGTGAGAAAACTGAAGTTCAGAGAAGTCAAGTAACCTGTCTAAGGTCAAAAGGCCACACTGAACCTCCGCCCCATTTGGTATTTGTGGGCAGCTGTGCTCGGTGATGGCAGATGTGGCCCCTGCCCTCAGGAAGCATAAGGTTTTATGGGAGAGGCCAAAAGAGGAAACGGTTCGGTGAAGGGCCCTGGGTGTGGGGCCCTGGGCGCCAGGCCACCGAGACATGTTGTCACAGCCTGTGCACTTATTGTCGGTCGGCCCTCATGTCCGGCAGAGGCAAGCAGCAAGCTCTTCCTTTTAACTTCACCTCCATGTCTTTCCCCTGAGGGACCCTCCAGAGCCCTGGGTTTGGGGGTGGGGTGGTGGACGTGGAAGAGCCCCCTGGGGAGAGCACCCCTAACCTTGTTTACAGAGCACCCAGTGTGTGAGGGGTCAGTCCACAGGTGTGTGTGTGTTGGCCCTGCCAGGAGTTTTAAAAACGTTTAATTAGCTGCCAACATTAACAATCTGGAGATTTCGCTAAGGAAGTGCAAATTCCTAGCCTTTCTAGAAAAATCAGAAGATCTAGCAGGAAGGGCCCAAAATCTCATCACAGAGCAGAGTGTTGGCTGCCCTGTGGGGGTCTCCTGGACTTCTCCTTCACCGACACTCTGGGCTTCCAGACTTGGGCCTTGGGGGTCACTGAGAGTGGGTGCCAGAGTCACAAATCCCATCACTGTCATAAAAGCTGTGTGCCCTCCAGCTGGCCACTTAGCCCCCCATGCCTCAGTCTTCTCATCTGTAAAATGTAGACAAAAATCCCTCTTTACAAGGTTATTGTGAATTTTGACGAGAGCACAGGACCTGACACACAGAGAGTTCTTACAAAGCCACCTGCCCGGAGGCCTGCCTTTCAGGGGCCATGGCGGGGGGGCAGAAGAACATATTGGTGCTGCCAGGATCGAGCAGGACACTCACCTCCACCAGCTTGTTGCCCACGATCTCTGAAGTCTGGTGGTAGTTGGGGAAATCCACCACCAGCTTCCCGCCCTCCATGCGCACCGTGGCCTGGAAGAGAAGCAGAACCCTGAGTCTAAGTCAGCAGAGGCCCCCAGATGCAGGCCAGCCTCTCAGGGGTGCAGGGCCTGCCTGCAGCCCCAGCCTTCCTCTCTGGGGATTCATTTGCCTTGTAGGTATACGATTACATAAACCAAAGACACAGGTCACCTGCACGACTGGCTTAGCCTTGCTGTGCCTTCCGTGTGTGCCACTAAAATGGGCGTCGTAACGATACCTGCTTCATAGAGTTACTGTGAGGATTCAGTGACTGAATATGACACATGTCAAGTGCTTAGAGCAGTGCTAGGCGTGTGGTGAGCCTCCTTATTAATTGCAGGCTTAGTCATGACCGTTCATTGTTGGGAAGATGATGATGTTGTCCAAGGGTATTGATTGCAGCATCGTTTGTAATTGTAAACAACCTACATCTCCGACCTAGGCTATCCACTGGTGAGTATCTATCAATGAGGGAATGTGAAATAAATAGCATTTCCAGTGGCCACTCACCTTGAACTTCTTGCCTCCCATGGTCTCCATGTCGCACTCCTTGTCTATGGTGAACTTATTGGTCATGGAGTGGCCTCCTGGGTAGTGCTGGGACCAGGTGAAGTTCTGCCCGTCCTGCTGGACCTCTGTGATGATCTTGAAGTTACGGCCCTTTTCAATTGCATCGCTGGGCAGCCCTGGTGTGGGGGACACACAGAAGGGCCATGTAAGAGCTGCTTACACCCGTGGCTTTGGGAAAGTGCTCGCCTCCTCTGGGGCAGGCTACCCCGACGGTTAAAAGCACACATTTCGGCTCTGCCATGAGCCATGCAGCTTGGGCAAATACCTCTCCAAGCCTCAGTGTTTCTATCCACAAAATAGGGTAAGAAGGCCCATCTCACAGGGCTGTTGCAAAGAGTAAAGTGTGTCTTGTAAAGCTCCTGCTGTGTAGTTGACAATAAATAATAGCTGTTCTTCTGACAGTAACATAATGCAATAGAAACTTGCCAAGCTTGCAAAGCTCTGGAATGAAAGGGACCACAAGCTGTTTTCGTGTCAAAGAAGAAAACAGCTGCACTGCCTCAGATGTGGATGGAGCACCAGGGTTTTTGCAGGATTCTTGAGTCTACCATCTCATTGGTTCCCCACAATGAGTATTGCAGACCTCACAGCTAAAGGTGTGGGGCCTTTGATCTCTCCACCCACAGAACCTAACTCAGTAAGAGGCCTTTGTTGAAGGACTGAATGAGTACGTAGCTTGTCAAAGCTAGTCCCTGTGCTGACTTCTTGCTCACTTCTTACAAGGCAGTTTGTGGTGACACCGCTCATCGTCTCATCATAAAGTCCTGTGTTCTAATATCCCCTTCTAGGGACTTACAGTGTGACCTTGAGTAAGAGCTGAGGTGCCCCCTCAGTAACAGTGGGTTGGCCCTTGCATATAGTAGGTGTTCAATAAATGTTTGAATGAATAAACCAGTCAAGTCTCTATACCAGTTTCTCTAGCTCTATGACCTTCAACTAATAACTCAGCTTCTCTGGGCCCTAAGTTTTCACTAAGTAATTGGTTATACTTATATTCCGTAAGTGTTTTAAAGTTAGAGTCTTTATGGCTTTTATTAGCCCAAGAGCCTGGAACAGAGAAGTACCCATCAGTTAAGGAAGTGAATGAATGAATAAATGAAGTCCTGTCCCACTTTACCCCAGGAATTTGGGTTCCCAGACCAGTGCAGGTTCTTACAGAGCAGCCCAGAGAAGGTATTCTTAGGACCCCACTCACCAAGGCGCTTCATGAACTCGTCATAATTCTTCTCGCTCTCGAACTCGTACTTGCCGTTGAAGGCCATGCTGCCTGGAGACCTGGAGGCCAGGGAGCACAGGGCTGAGGAAGAAGGTTTGTGGTGCTGAGGGTCTGCTGCCCCAGCTTATAAACCCTCCCAGATGCTGAGGCTCAGCCCCCTAAGTCACCCCGCTTCTCCACCTGCCTCTGAACAGGAAGTGCTTGATGTTTTATGACGTGGGAAGGGCCCGGAGGAGAAGAGCCCCAAGGTTATTCACCCGGCGAAGTGCCGGCCGCAGTCCACTGCCCTTCCCAGCAGGGCCAGGGCCAGCACTGCACAGGGCTTGAGGTGTCATCCATTCTGTCCACCCCCCCCATTCATCTGCATCTCCCCTTCATCCATGCTTACCACCTCTTATTCACTCCTGTAGTCACCGACCACAACACATGGAGCTCCTTGTGCGTGGGGCACAGAGGAAACACTGGATGAGACACACATCCTTTCCAAGACAGCATCTAGGCTAGTCCAGAGACAAAACACACAACTGCAGAAACTCTCATGCAAGCAGTGTGTGTGGCGTGCCCCAAGAGAAATGCAGATGTGTGGCCTGAGGGCTGGGACAACCGTGTCCAGGTGGCTGGAGTATCATGGTGTGGAAGGCATTTGATACAGGTCTTGAAGGCACAATGGGATTTGGCTGTTAGGATAATCAGTCAGGTTGGAGAAGGCTAAGAACATACTAGGAGAAGGGAACAGTGTGATGCAGGAGGAAAGGAAACAATGAGTTTGGCTGCAGCAAAGAGCACTTGAAGAATAGATACAAGAAGGATGCAGAGAATGCAAGCAGCATAAAGCAGCAGCCTGTGGACCCTAGGAGCCAACCTTGAGGAAGAGGCGCCAGGGTGCGTAAAGATCCACTCTGTGGCAGGCATGGGCTTGATGAACTCTGTTCGAGCTTCAGTGCTGGGAGGGCTAGGAATTTAGACCCCCGACTTCTGGTTCCTTTTCTGTCATCTGGCAACTCCATCTCCTCCGTGATAACTCCTGCCCTGCCTGCACTGCGGGGCTGTCCTCTGGACCCAGTAGATTGATGATGCAAAGCGTAAAGTGCTCTGCGAAGGCTCTCATCCTTCTGGTTATTAATGAAGAGAAGTTTGCAAGTCTCTCTCTTTTTCTAGAGCCAGCTCTCCATGAATCCTCATCATTTCCATCCAAAGCAGAGCTCACCACGATTGCTAACCCCCAGCGCTGGGACTCTGGAGTTTCTAAACTGATGAAACCAGCTTTGCCACATTTTACCAGTCTTCAATCTCCAGTCTTGGAATTTCTTAACCCAGGAGTGTTATTGGAAAAAAATCATAAACACACACATTAAACCATCCTCCAGCACACACACACATCATCATCATCATCATCATCATGGATTTTCTGATGCTAAATTATATATGTTAAAATCTTATAACTCAGGGCAACTGGCAGTCCTGGCTGAGTCAGCCTTTGATAACAGTTTGGTGTCTGTCCTTCTAGACTTATAAATGCATACATATACTTTCCTATGTAAATGAGGTTATATTGTCCTATAACTTCTTTTTATGTAATGGTACAGCTCATGTCTATATCATTACATAGAACTATATCATATCCTTCTTAGCAGCTCCAGGGTATTTTATTGTATGTATGTTTCAGAACTTACATAGTTATTTCTGGATGTTTAGGTTGTTTCCAATCTTTTCCTGTTATAAATAACTCTGAGCTAAACATATTCATTCACACCTCTTGGTGTACATGGCAGATTATTTACTAAGATTATTTGCTGAGGATGAATTCCTAACCATGAAGTTCCTGGAACAAAGGGTTTTTATAAAATATTTATATCTATTACTCTACTGCCTTTCTGAAATGTATTAACAGTTTACATTCCTTCCTAGAGCATATGAGTATTTTCCCCTTGTTGACAATAATGATGCAATAACAATAATTGCTAACATTTATTGTTTAGTATGCATTGGGCACAATGATGAGTGTCTCACATGAATTATTTCATTTAATCTCCAAAATGACTCTATGACATAGGTACAGTTATTGACCCCATTTTGCCAAGAAGGAAACTGAGTTTTGGAGAAGTTAAGGAACTTGCCCAAAGTCACGGAGCCCTATGTATATTCATATTTACTACTGAAACAACTTCCAACATCATTTAAGCACATTTCCAAAAATTCTCCATAATCCCATTACCCTAACACTAACTTTTTTCCTATTCTCTTCTTCTCTCTTTCACTCTTTTCTTTTTCTTTTTAAAATTTATTTATTTTTGGAGAGGGGACAGGAGGGAGAAAGAGAGGGGGAGAAACGTCAATGTGTGGTTGCCTCTCAAGTTCCCCCTACTGGGCACCTGGCCTGCAACCCAGGAATGGGCCCTGTGTGGAAATAGAACCAGCGACTGTTTGATTAACAGACAGGTGCTTAATGCATCGAGCCTCGCCAGCCAAGGCTCTTTCACTCTTTTCTTTCACTCTCATCCTTGCTTTCTTTCTCACCGACTCTAAGTAAAAAAGATACATAATAGTTATAATCTCCATGCAAGTACAATATTCGTTCGGTTTTTCTTTGCCCAGCATTTGTTTGTAAACACAGCCCCATGTTTCTGAAAAACCACCATGTCGATTGTTAGCAATGGCTACACAATGTTTTTTGTTGGCTTTTAGGGGGATCCCAGCTTACCCCATAAATGCCAGGCCACAGTGAGCTTTTTCCTATGCAGGGGATTTTTTCAAAAGCATTTCATTGAGCTAGAGCCCCAGGTTGGGATTACAGTTATGCGATCAGGCACATCACAGAGCTCTAACATGTTTTGCCATGTTGGGACTGAGTTGGTTTACACCCAGCTGGCCTGGGTGCTAAATTTCTTGGGACGCAGCATTTTAGACATCCTTAGTACTTTCCCCAAACATTCTGCCCAGCAACATCACAGGTGGTGCCATCCTGAGAACTGATACCTTTATTGTTTTAAAACAACCTTTATGGAGGAAAGAGTTTACATTTTCTGACTACAAAAGTAATAGATGTTCATAGCAGGAAACCTGGGAGAAAGCAAAACTCAAGGATACCTGTAATCCCACTACAGGGTCTTGTGTTCCGCTTGTAAAATTAATACATACTCCAGGTCTACAAAGGATAAGAGCTCGAGAGAACGTAAGGGAAAGGTGAGAGCCCCACATCCCGCTGCCTCTCATTTTCCTGAGCAGCAGCCGTTCTGCTGAGCCTATCAGACATTTCCCACAGGCACACAAACATATTCGTGCTCGTCCTTTTTTTTTTTTAAGTTTTTATTTATTTATTTATTTACTTTTAGAGAGAGGATGGGAGGGAGAAAGAGAGGGAGAGAAACCTCAACGTGTGGTTGCCTCTTGCATGTCCCCCACTGGGGACCTGGCCCGCAGCCCACAGCCCAGGCATGTGCCCTGACAGTGAATTAAACCGGCGACTCTGGTTTGCAGGCTGGTGCTCAATCCACTGAGCCGCACCAGCCGGGGTTTTTCTGTTCTTTTTAACAAAATTCAAACCCAAAGATACTATTTTGTCTTGTCTTACCACCCCCAGTCAGCAGTGTATTTTAAACGTTATGGACCTTATTTCTTCGTGGAAACTGAAAACCGTTCCATTCATTATTTAAAGGGACTTTCCAAATGGAGAAATCCACTAGTAGAATACATTGTGTTGCCCTGGTCTAGGCAGGGGAAACAATAGACCATTTGCCATTTTCCTGTAAACTTGGGTGAAAATAATTTAACAGAGATAGCCAGTGATAAGTTCAACATAAGGGGGCAATGGGCAAATAAGCTAGAGAGGTGTAGGGGGCAGGGTACAACCTCCCGAAATCCGTTAGGTTCTCTAGTCTGGGAGGAAGCATGCGCTAAAGAGAATCCTACGTTTGTGCTCCAGCCTATCTGGAAAGACTGCTCACTTTTCACCTGACTTTCTAAATTGTAATTGTCCTTACAAATGTACCCCCTCCAGGGAGCCTTCCTTGATTACTCTAACCTACAGATTGTTCCTAACAGGAATCCCTCTCGTGTGTACATCCTCCTTGTCATGGCCCCGGGGCACACCTGGGCTTTAAGAGTCTTATGTGTAAGTCTTCATGTGTGAGCTCTGAAACTTCAGATACACAACCTTTTTCATTTATTCATCAAGTGTTATCTGAGCACCTACTGTGCACGAGACAGATACCAAGTGTCTGTCCTCAAGTCTTGTGGGAGACCCAGCCTAGTAAGCAGGCAAAGACGACACAGTGTGATAAATGAGATCAAGGCCATCCATAATGATGCGGAGAGAGACATCACCCTGACCACCGCCTCCTAGGGGTCAGGGAAGGCTGGCCCGACAGGAATGGACAAACGAGCCTGAGCCTTAATTCGTTCACTGTTAAATGGGGATAAAAATAACTGTCATCTAGAGTTCCCATGAGGTTAAAGGAGGATTAAATGAGAGTATATAAATAAGGTGCTTAGCCTTGAATCTAGGATTTCATAGATGCTCCCTGAATGTTCTGTTATTCTTACTCGTTGGCATTCTGTCCAGCCTATCTGCCTGTTATTTTGAATTACTGTTTATTGTAGCATTAATTTAACTCCTCACAAAGTGTGTCTTTTATCTCCCAATTACATTGTAATTCCTTCTAAGAGAGAGTGCGTCTCATACTTCATTAGCGGATGTGCCCGGCAGGCACTGGGATACTGTTCATTTTGTTTTATTTGTTCGGATTGATCTGGAATAGTAGACTCTGAGGCTGTGTTCTACAAAGCATGGTCTTCATCATACACTGTGGAGGGTGCAGGAGGGGAGGGTTTGTGAAAAATGGAAATCCCTGGGCCCTGATCCAGAAACTTTGATTAGGTAGATCTGGGCGGTGCCCTGGAATCTGCATTTGACAGGTTCCCCAGTGGTTGTGATATACAGTCACATTGAGAATCTCCAGGCCGGGGGATTTAGCAAGAGCTGGCCAGGCGGGCCAGATGGGCTCTCCAGGCCCCCATTTAACACCCTTTCATTGACTTTCTTTTGCA